CGCCGGCGGGTCCGTGATGAGGGTCAGCTTGTTGAACACGCCGCGCCCGAAGTAGTCGGCGACGACCGAGAAGCCGTCGGTGGAGCACTTGAGCTGCGGGACACAGAGCGCGCAGTCAGGAGGGCCCCGCGCCGCCTCCCGAGCCCGGCTGCTCCCGTTCCGCCAGCCGGGCTGTGCGCCCAGCACAAACGCTCCTGTGAACAGAGCGTGGAGGAATCCTCGCCCTGTGCCCCAGGCAGCCCCTCCAGCTCCAAACACCTCCTTAGCCTCGGTCACAGGGCCCTTCTCTACAAAACAGCGCTCAGCCCTCCCCCTCTAGCAGCCCTACACGCATGCAAAGAAAGCAGAATCCCATTTCAACCCAGCAAGACAGGCAGCACATGACCCTACCTGATGCTGGAACTGATCGTGCAGATCTCTCTTCTGCTCCTGGGCTCGGATCATGTCCATCACTTTGCGATTCTCTGGCATGCACGTAGGGCACTCGGAGTCGCTCTCCGAGTAGCTTTCAAAGCAATGCTGGTGGAAGGAGTGGCCACACAGGAAGTGCACTGAAGGCAGCTCCAGGGCACTGGTGCAAATACTGCACTTGGTCTTCTGGAAGATCTTGGGGCTGAAAGAAGGAGAAGGGTGGAGAAGGTGAGGTGTATTTTCTCAATAAAATGCAAGAACTTTCTGGCCTGTAGAACACAAGACGCCTCCAAGATCCGCACCTTGCTTTTAGCTCCTCGATCTCCTGGCGGATCCTCGTGGTTTCTTCACGGTACTTTTGAATTCTCTGCTCGTCTTGCTCAATTTGTCGGCTCTGCTTCTGCAGTTTGTTGACAAGATAATCCTTAATCACAGACAGCGTGGCTGTAGAGTTATGAGCCAGAGTCTGCACAACTGAAGACAACCAACGTGTTAGTTTAGAGGCAGGCAAGAAGCTGCAGCTACGCTACTCTCGCTCAGATGGACCTCTTCTCTTTGAAATGGCTCGCTTACAGGCAAAGAGGCTCTGTACTTCTACTAAATGACAAGCTTCATTTAAGGACTCTGTTTACATTTGACCATTTGAGGGCCACAGCAACTACCGTGTGTTTGGATAGCTCAGATCCGAGGGACAGCGCACAACCAATCCCCAGCGGGAGTCTGGGCAAATCCTCCCCCTTCCCCACTGACAGGACAGAGCAGAGAGAGGCACAGGCAGCCGTGCAGCTGGAACTGCACACCTTTGTACCCGCACAGGCAGCTGCCAGCAGCATCGCTGCTCCCTACAGGGCAGGCCAGTAACTGGAGCGGCAGACTCCAACTTCATTGATGCCTCTCAGCCTTCTAGGCTACAGCGAGTGCTATAAACCGATTTTTTGGGGGGCCACGTCTCAGTATTACCAAGCAGTGGAGGCATAAGATTCTTGCTCTCAATGTGTTTCAGCACTGCAGCAATATACTCCTTACAGTCTTCTTCCTTCCGTGCAAAGTAGCCAAGAGCCTGTTCCCAGAGGCAAGCCTCTTGGTCTCCGTACAACTCACACACCTCGATCACCTTCTTGTACTGCTCATTCTGCATGTGGTAGTGCATGATCTGTTGGAAACTGAAGGAGAAGGAAGCAGGTCAGCTATACAGCCACCTCACTCTTTGAACTGTTAGAGGCACCTAAGGTTTTTGACCTGCCACACAACCACCAGACTGCCACAGAAGCCAGCACTGGCCTGTCACGCATTCTCCACATAAACGCCTTGCTACAACAATAGGAGATTTTCAACTGAGCCATGATCGACAGTTCCTGTCTTGAGATACTCCAGAGATGCTCACTTTTCTAGGGCAGGAAGGGTTATTTATGGCTCAGCTATCCCTATGTCAGGGGATTAAAAAGTTGGGGAGAAATGCAACACTCACAGTTTTCCCTGTTCATAGAGGTAGAGGACTCCATCCTTGAAATTGTGCATCTGACATAAGACCAAGGCCTTGTCAAAGACTGTTTTGAACCTTCCACTCTTGAGGAGGGTGATGGCTTCATTGTGCAGCTTCTCCTTTATCTGCAGAGAACCAGCACAGGGTGGAGTAAATACACACATAAACCCAATGACAAGTTGTAGCTCTGCTGAAGCAAAGTTCTCCCATTTACCCTCTAGCCCTACTAAGGAAAGGGGACACAATTTCTTTGGCCCCAATAACCAAATTTCTCAGAGGCAAAGGCAAGCAAGCACAGCTGCTTTTGTGAGAGGCTGTACTCTCAGGAATCCGTGCTTAAACGAGCTCAGCCTTGTTAAATGAGTCCTCTTCCAGGTAGCAGACTGCTTTCCCATTTCTTTATTTGCTGGGAAGAGCGAATGTACTGCTCCCTGGTAACACCACCCACCATCTAAATACAAAGTGGAGGAGTCCAAACCTGCTCATCTTGTTCATGTGCCCAGTTCTGAAGCTGAAGTTCCAGCAATGTGTCATAGACACCTTGTGGGGAGTCCGACTGCACTTCAGTCATGTGCTCCAGAAAGGCCTTTAATTCTCGGGAGTTGTTTGCAAACACTGGAATGAACTCCTCGGAATTAGCCTGTAACAGAGCCCAGAAAAAGTTAGGCACCCAGACCGGGCGCAGCCAGAGAGCCGCTTCGTTCTCATCTCCTAAGTGCTCATCTCCAGTGTCTCCAGTGACACGAGACGAGTACTCAGTACAGAGCTGCAGTCAGTGCAGAAATCCGCGCTGAGCAGCAGCATCAGGGAGCCCCTTGACTCTGGTGTTAACATGAGGGCAAGTCTTTTCATTATATTTAAGCTGTCAAGCCTGCACCACAAAGCATGCGGGGGCATCCGCTCGCCACAAACTTGGTGCTCTAGAGCTGCCCGTCGCCGTCAGCGCAAACCCTACCTTTTTTCCTTCCAGCATCCCAGGGCCTTCTTTGTCTCCGGATGGCCGGTAGTCAGTGCAAAGTATCTTCAGCAGTTCTGTGGTCTCATTAGGAACGTGGTGCATCAGGATTTTACCATACCGCTTCATGTTGCTCTCTGCCTGGTCAAAAGGCAGCTTTCCAATGTACGCCAAAGCCTCCTGGTAGTTCTGTGGGGGCAGCCAGCAAGAACCATATGACATGGGCCCCTGCTATTCACTCTGATGTTACACCTCTACGAGGGCCACAGAGAGCACTGAAGACATGCTGTAAATACACCATGAAGGTATACCTCATTTTTGCATTTGCTTTGAATTACCACTTGGCTACTCCTGCCGACTTTCCTCCTCAGGGAGGCAAACTGGCCAGGAGCCAGGGCAAGGAGAGCGTGATTTAGATCGGTCTCGCACTAAAGATCACTCTTCTTTCAAGGCGCTCTATAAAAAGCCGTAACTGAGTTCTACCGTACCAGGCACAAGCAGAGAACAAATGCATAAACAACAGCGTTTTGATTGCTGCCTGAACAGTCCTAGCAGAGCCCGTATCCACGGAGTCCACAGAAAAGCCCCTGGCAAACTGTATTCTCACCAGTAAGAACACGAGCAAAGGCATCTCCTCACCTTGATATCCTCTAGCTGGATTTTGAGGTACCATTCATGATGTGCATGCTTCTCTGCCAGGTACACAGCATGGGAGTAGTAACCTGCTTGACGAAGTACCCTGATTGCTGTCTCCACATCAAAGCGCACCTCACTCTCACTAGTCTAGGAGAACACAAGCAGAAAGGCGGCCCCCTCATTACTCCCATGAGCCACAGGTAGCCATGGCTTACGTAGACCGAGCAAAAACAAAGCAGTGACATCTCAGCACCCCTCATGCAGAAGGGAAACACTCTAATAATCACCCCTCCGTAGACTGCTAGTCACACTGGGCAAAGCTAGCACACTCCAAACTGAAGAGGCAAGAAAGGCAAACCCAGAATGAAGCAGAGAGCTTGGAAATAAAGGAGCAAAGACCAAGGTGCTAAAGAAAAAGGGTTATTCTCTCTACCATTTTCCCCATTCCACCCCCCGTCTTTTTTTTAATGATTATTAAGCCCCCTGAGGAGCCTTTTTTTTTCTGTCACTATTATCGATTTATGGTGACCTACCAACTTCACGTTACTTCTAGTTCACCTCCCACACTTACCTTGATGAACTCCTCCAGTTTGGAGCTGTCTTTGAGTTTGGTGTAACAATTCAGCAGAAGTGTGGTATGGTCTGCATTGGCCAGGGACTGCAGGTGGAGAGTCTGCAGATAAGCAGTGAGGTTGTGTATACGCTGAGCATCCAGGAACTTCCGAATAACATAGGATGGCTCCAGCTTCCCTATTGTTCTGAGGAGGGAAGAGTCAATTCAGGAGAATCCAGACACCCAATGAGTCACAAGTGGAGAGATTAAGAATGGAACAGGCAGAACACCTTCAGCAGACACTGGCCCTTTACAGACAAGCTAGCTACTTATTAGGAGAAACATCTAGTTATGGTGTTATCAGAGCAGCCATCAGTATGTAGGAAAACAAACAACCCCTTCTATGACAAAGGCTGCTAGCTGGAACAATGGTGAGAGCAGATGAGGAGCTGATGGTCCCTTTACTCTGACAGATATGCCACTCCCTACTGCTACAATTCACCTTCAGCCAAGGACTTTTCTTCTGGGCTTTTCTTTTCTGAGACAAACTTATCAAGGCCTATCTGCACTACATTCTCTTGGCTCCCTTCAAGCCCCGCTTACCGGATATACTGCTGGATGGCTCCATCGTGGTTCCCCTTGTTGTACAGATGATCTCCATACTGCCGGAAAATCTCTGACAAACCGTCACTGTCCAAGTGGTGACTCTTGGCCAGGTTTATAGCCATTTCAAATAAGTTCTTTCTGAACAACATCTGTTAAATATGGGATAAGAGCAGCGTGAGGGAAGCATCGCCTCACCAAACGAGATTAAAACATGCCTTGCAAACAAGTCTTTTCATCTTTGTGGTGCTACATGTTTAAATACAGGCAGTTTTTAAATATCAAACTGTTTATGCAGAGAAGCCGTCCAGTCATTTGTTAAACATTACTCATTTACCTGAATGTGGGCTCTTCAACTTTTCAAAGAGTGAAGACAGCACAACTTTACAGATATACGGCAGAGACTAATAACAAAACAGATTTACGTGCCTCAAGTTTGGTCTGAGTATCCTTCTCCTGCAGGACATGGATCTTCCCATCTCTGGTCAGTACGTACAGAGACCCCCACTCTGCTAAAACATCCACTATATCATCAAAGATGGAGCTGTACGCAATGAATTTGTTGCACAAGTCATAGATATTCAAGACTTGTTTGTCAGAATTCTGAGCCTCACTCCCAGCAAACTCTGACCTGGAAAGAGGAAGAAAGTTTTAGAAATCTGGCAGAATGTAACACGATTGCTTTTCAAACCTATGCAAACTAGGGTTTCCTACAGAGGAAGGTAAGTGAGTTGCAGTCAGTCAGTCAAACTAAGGGGGCCCGCACATATGCAGCAATTCCATCCGTGCCCTAGACAAATTCATACAACTGAAAGGAAAAAATCCCACTGCTTCAGCATACTTGATTGTGCTACTTCCTCAAAAGAGATTAATGATGTATGGGACTAAGGTGAATTTTGACAGCCCCTGACAAAGTTGCAGTCAGACCTTACGTGGAAGTCTCCCAGGGATAAGGGGAAAGCAGGAAGCTGCAAAAGAGAAAACAACTCATCTGTTCCAAGGAGCCCTACTTGGGAGAAGTCTTCCGGTCCCTGGAGACAATGATGAGGTACCCCCGATACCAGTGAACAATTAGCTTTTGTCCCTCGAAGGCAAAGCACGGGCCACGCTCATCCGGTTGGTAAAGGTACACGCATTCGTTTCCCGCCACAATGAACTGGAGATCCTGGGACGGGTCGCTGAGAGAAGAGCAGCGCAACCCACAGCCGTGAGTATCCAACTCCAGATGAGGATAATCCTTCACGGAGAGCGTGTAAGACTACAGAGGAGATGCAACGTTTTAGGAATTACTTTGACCTACACTGCGCAGCCGATACAATTTGCAAGTTAAATTTTCATTTCTCACTGACAATAACTTCCTACCTGGATGTTCTCTGTGGTCACCACAAACAGATGTGTTGTTTTTCCAGACTGTCGGAAAGCAAGGCCAGTGATTGGGTAACTGCCCTCATGGAGGATCTGGGTTTTACTATGTCGGTCTCGAGTGATGTCTCCTTTCGTAAGCACAACGCTCCCATCGGCAAAACCTGGCAAAAGGGACAAAGCTGTTTACTCACGTGGCGTACTCCAAGTATTTCCCAGCATAAGCTACGGCAGCTCTGGTGAGCAACAACAAGATATTAAGGAACAGGATTGCCACAGCTTCTCAGTTCAGGGAGATGTGTTTCCACACTACCCGCGATTACTCTTATTGCACTCCAAGGCTGTCTCCTTGCTGGACACGATGCTGCTTTTCAGTAACATTCAACCTCTCTTTCCCACACAGACTTCTCTTGCAGAGCAGCTATCTCACCTGTCAATTCTAACTACCATCCCACACAGACTTCTCTTGCAGAGCAGTTAGAATTGACAGGTGAGATAGCTATCGGTTTAATCAATTTCCCTATTTAAAATGTACAACATGCACACAAAAACAAACAGCAATGCACACCCTTATAGGGAGAATTTCTCAAACCTAAATTCTTAAAGCCATAAAGGGAGATTCCTAAACTAAGTAAAACCCTAGGTTTCTACAACAAGCTTGGGGCCCTGAACCCGCACATTGTTTCAAGGGGAAAGGCCACAATAAGCATATAGAAACTTTGATTACGGTGCCAAAGAGATCAATGCAACCCTTACCGCTTTTACTCTGTCACTGTTTAAGCAACAAATACTATAAAGAAAAGTTTACATCCCAGCAAAGAAATTTCATTAAATTTGAAACCCACTGATTTACAGGAAAAAACCAACATCTACTAAAATTACACTTGTAAACGTCATAGTTAATATAGCGCTATGTATAGATGCACGTTAAATGCATACACGTATCTTTTCAAGCTGTCACGTCATGTAAGAAACACCATTTCTGCAAGTAAAAACTGGATGAGAACAAGAAAAACAAAAGACAGAGTGCTCCATCCGTCCCCTTTCCATCTCAGTACCGTAAGATTTTTCTTTCGCTACTCCTGTGCCATTTTACTTACCGATAGCCATGAAATTAAGATTTTCATGGACAGTTAGGCAGGATACAACTGTGGGTTTGTTACCAGGTATTGCTGGAAAAATCCGTGTGCAAAGAGGATTGCCACCATCCCGCTTCTCCAGGTTCCAAACTTTAACCTACAAACAAGGGATGTGGCATCAGCAAAAGACCAGGTGTTAGGAAGTCCAAAACCGGTACCAAAGTTTCTGGAACCAAGGATCAGAACGAGCTTTATAAAGAGCGGCCTCTGCCAAAGCAATCGCAACAGCTTTTGTAAGGACCTGGTGTAAAAAACAAGCATCTGTTTGACTTACCAAAGGATTAATGCCCTCCTCATCCTCTCCGACAGAAACCAGGATGCTGTGCTGCTTCAGCTGGTACAGGTGCGTCACCCTGAGCTTGTAAGCCTGGAAACCTGTGAGCTGAAGGGAGCGGGGCAAGAACCAGATCTGCCCCTCCATATGTAGAGCACGGTTAAGGTTCACAGGACCCAAGGCAGCTCTCGGCGCTCGGAGCCCAAGCC